TGTGATCATATGCTTAAAAATTATGAACATGCTTCTGCATTCGTACGCTTGAAGCGTCTGATGGACCACTCATTAATCGCGGATTTTTTATGTGCAAGCAAACTGTTGATCGTAGAAATCAGTGCGTGATCTTTCTTGAGGCTTGACTTCAAGAAATTCTATTACAAGATGAACTTCCATTCTACTGATGAAATTAGCTGAATCCTCCGAGTTGTCGAATTCTAAAATTTTCTTCTTCATTAAAACTGCTAAGGTCCAGAAACTATGGTCGATATCCTCCTGATACTAACATTTACGATTAAATGAATGCGCAACTCAAAATCAACTCACAGTGTTAACAGTATTATTGATTTTATCGGCAAATGTCACCATAGTGATTATAATTATCAATATCACCGTTACTATTCACATCTATTCTAACTGAAAGCATTTTGTTGTTCTATTCTTCAAAGTGCTCAAAGGAAAGGCATGAAGAAGAATACTAACGATGTAAAACAAGTACACATTATTTATTACATAATAAATATGAAGATGCAAACGTATCATAAATTGTTTTCCGTTTCGTTTCGTTTCGCTGTAAATATGAGCAAAATCGCAATAACTCGTTCTCAATCGTGCAAAACTTCAAATTTCTTGATTATCATTTCTCCCAAACGAACCAACCAACGAACGAACGCCTCTAACTTCACATCGTCATTACTATCATCAACACCATCACTATCAACACCATCATTACTTGAGTATTTGATCATTACCTATAAAATAAACGTTCCATCTTCTCGATCATGCGTGTTCGATTCTTAGTCATGCGTTGTTTCATAGTGCTTCGTGCATTCATCACATTTCTTTTACTAACTCTTATAGTGTTCAATTGAAACAACTCAATTCATATTGAGTCATTCACCAATTTCAAATGTTTCTTAGTTTAATTTAAGTTCGACCATTGTTGATTTTTTATTTTCTACAATGTCATCCACTTTTATATCGCTCATCTTTTCCACAAAAAATGTTCGATTTGATAAATTTGAGGCATCTCATTGGATCAATGAAGTTGTTTTGACCACTGATACATTAAATGAGATGAAAGCGAATGCATCTAGTCAGATATTTAAACACCGTGAAAGATAACACTAAAAAAACAATTGCATATCATACGTCTCCAGCTCCAGTGAACGCGATCAGTGATGAGCAATCCTCATCCTATTGAAAGCAGTCTATCATAAGCAATAGAATTTGCTTCACTCATTGTATTGTTTCCATTGCCAATGAAATTATCTATAGTTCGAACTTTTCGTTTTGCTCATGAAATGTTTAATTGTCAAGCAGTCGCCCTGCTGTTTCCACTGATTCTCTTGACTGAACGATGAGCTTCAATTCAGCTAACTGGAAGCAATATCACCGATTTGATTGTCACACATAAGATGACACGGATTATCGGTTCGTCGATAAGGAAATTCATTGTTGTGCTAATAATTTTCTTCAATTTTTTCATATTCGCCATTCGAACGTTCCCGCTGAATGGAGGTTAGCTGATAGCATTTTATCTTACAATTAATCAATTACAATTATATCTATGAGTATTCCACAAGCACAATATCATTGAGGGAAGAACTTTGTCCATAAAATTTTTTCATCTCTTACCTTCCATCTCATTTCTGGCAATTTTGCACCTTAAACTCTTTCGTCAAATATCGTTTCATTTGAATTCATGAAAATATTTTCGGTTACGAGTCATTTAATTGCTTCATAAATCGCAAAGGAAATCCTCATTTCACGCTGTTCGTCACTGGCATTATTTTGCAAAATCAGTTGAAAAGACGTAATTTCTGAAAGAATTAATAGCAAGTAATTCCAAAACAATCAAAAATGATTTTGCAAGCATAATATGCCTAACATTTTACAGCTTCACCAGTCACATTTATATTGAGTGCCATTGAGCATGTATGCATAAATTCATTTGAAATTCGTGAATAAAGAATCAATCCACTGTTAACAATCACTTTCATTTGATGATAGTGACATAGTAACATTGTGGAGATTACTCTCCATTTGATCAATTGCAACCATTGAATCACTGAAGTTTTTTTGAATGATTATCTGGAAAGTATTTGAATATTTATTTTGGGATTATAATTATAATATTGTTCATCGATTCAGCATTGTAATCTTCATCATTGAGTTAAACTCAAGTCAGAATTGAAGCTTCACTGTATCTTGGAATAAACGATAATCTGAAATAGAACAAATTTAGGTTCACCAAAAGTTATCTCAGTCCCACTCAATTCATCGCTTCAGTTGGTGTGCGATGATGCAGCAAACATCGCCAACAACGGAAGTAAAACGCACCGAAGCTTTTTGCTAAATGATTATGCCTGGAATGATATTACTGGCAATGATAGCAGTGAAAATACGGTACAAATGACGTGCGTTGTTGACTCGACTGAAAGTTTGAGATTATTCATTATGAAAGTGCATGAGAACGATGATGGCAACTATACTTGCGAAGATTCATACGGCAACATCGTCGAGACATTTCGAGTAACCGTCTCAACAAACTCAGAAGGTCTCCTCAATAAAACTGCACTTTTTTCAAGTAAAGTAGGTATTCATGACAGTGCGAAGCCAACGATGTATAAGTCGATGCCTTCATGGCTAATGGAATATTTTGCTATGGGATGGTTGGTCTAAATCTCAGAACTCACTCGTATTTCGATATTTCAGCATAACAATGTTATATTCCACCTTTTTTTCGCTCGCTTTTCTCAAATCCTCTCCATCCTTCCTGGTAAATAGTTCTTTCGAAATGCTCAAATGTTCAAGCGTTTGTGTCCTCCCTGAATTAAGTAACTCCTGTTGATCTCTGCGGTTGAGACCAAAAATTGTGTGGAATAGGATCATCTAGCGCTAATATTCATTAGTCAACATTGCTTTGGCAATTACGTTATTGCAATTAATCTACAGAAAAATGGAATCACTCAAGCAAACATGAGAAGATTAAGCGACTTGATGCACTGAAACCATGCGAATCGGCTGTTAATCGTTTACGGGTTTGGAAGAAGAACGGAAAAGTGATTTGCGTTCAGAGATCAGTTGAGGACGTTTGTGGACTGGGAGAAGTCGCCAATGATGAGCCGATTAAAAAGGTACTGAACGTTCCATTCCGTCAACAATGACTTCCTCTCTAATTGAAAAGCGTTCACATTTGGGTTGGAACACTTCAAAATTATTTTTAACCAGGGTTGAATGCAACTGTGAACAGCAGGCAGAAAAGTTAAAGGTATGTTGCGAGACTGAATGTGAGCTCAAAGCCGAAAGCTCTCTAATTCTGGACCGAAATAAGTTGGTAATATCCAGCCGTTGCACTTTTTCGCTCTTGTTCGATAATCACATCTCAGAATGAGATTATTCAGTCAGTATCCAAAAATTGAGAAGAAAATGCAGGACGTATTCCAGAGTCTGTCAGCAAACAGTAATTCATTCTTTGTAAAGTGGTAAAAGACTAGGAATTCACACTTATCTGAGACAATCTCCCGACATCCAGGCAGCAAGTTTAATCAAAGA